TTTGTGTAATTTAAGTTTAGGGTTTTTATTTTTTTTATTATTTAGGTTTTTTTATTTTTTTCCCTATTTTCTATATATTTTCACACACATATATATATATGAATTAATATATATATATATATATATATATATATATATATATATATATAGGAAAAAATAGGATGAAGATACTTAAAAAATGAAAAAATAGCAATATATATAATATATATATATATATATATATATATATAGGAAAAACTATGATCTGATGATTACTTAAAAAGTGAAAATAGCAGCCACTATACTTTTTGTTATTTTCTATGTTGACGATGTAAAAAATATATCTATGAAAGGTACATTTTCGATATAATCATGGCGTCTCATTACAAACCAATGTTTACACACACACACACACACACATATATATATATATATGTGTGTGTGTGTGTATGTGTGTGTGCGTGCGTGTGCATGTATGAATAAAAACTAAAGGAAAATGTGTTTTTACCAACACGTTTCCTCCTCTGATGGAAAGTTTGAAAAAGTTTTCCTTTTGTCTTTATTCATATTGTCATTTAACAGATATATTTTGTTTTTGCATATACATATGTATACATATATACGTATGCATATATATCTAATTATATATATATATAATTATATATATATATATATATATATATATATATATATATATATATATATATATATATGTCGAAAGTAAATAGACTACCTCCCCCAAAAAAAAAAGGAATATGGACACTAAAGATAATCAGAAAACTCCAGTTTTAGTGGGAGAACATTGTTTATTTAATGAATGCACGCGTTAATACTTACTCGACACTCCCTTAGCGTCCTTGAATGCCTTGACTCTGTCAGGCCTAGATGTGACAAGCCCTGTAATCTTCGACGAGGGAATTTTTACCCGAGTTGAATGCACAAGTTAAAGTAATTCGTCATGGGAAACAGGTTTCACCCGTTTCTTACGCCGTGATCTGTTTAATTTTGTTACAGCCATGCTCAGGTCAGTTTTAATGCATGGCACCGTCTTGCAGGAAATATGCTGCATCCTTGTCCATTTAATGACTGGAAAAATTAGGTCGAATTCCTTCATGAAGTATCGTTATATATTTTGCACCATTAAAGTTGCTAGCGCTTTCTACCAAGTATGTGCGACTAATGACCCAAATCCCTCTCTCGACCATCACCAAGTGATTCTTTGAAAACCCCTCCAAATCACTGACAGAGAATTGGGGAAAGGACCATTGGCCCGAGAAAATTTTACCTTTTACATAACTTTTACACATGTAGGCGATTATGTATCTTTCGACACATGACTGACGAGGCAGATTTTTTTCCCGCAGTAAATTGTCATTTCTTTCTGCAGTAACCAGTTGCTATCCAAGGTTATAGAACCCGGCCTGTGCTGCTGGGGAGAGAATAAGAGGATTTCTACATTTTCCAATGGTATTAGAACTTAAGTGAATATAATGGATTCGACTGGAATTCGAACTCGGCCCTCCAATTCCTCAATCCGAGCCGCTATCCATTACTCCACCGTGCGTCTTTTTACGAAAATGCGCTCTTATTGTACATGCTGTTAGTCCTGTCATTTCTTTCTTAATGTTGATTGAGATGATCAACGGCTTTCATTCATTAGCCCCTCCCTGAACAGCTCGGATACACTTGTCAACCACTTAAAAACTTGACAATTCTACTCAATATGTAGGAATTTGTGAGAATTAACGAAAGATAATCTCATATGATCAATCTCAAAGATGTCAATGTAACAGCAGATCACAGTCTGAACTTAGAAAAGAGTTAAAAAAAAAGATTATATTAATAATTATCTATATTATATACAGAGATTATATTAAAAGTAAATGATGACATACCAAATTAGAAAACCAAGGATAATCTGCAAACCAGAATAATCAGCATTCTGCGAAATCACTTCCCAGACCATCAACGATAGTTGTTTGCAGGTGGGTCTTGGAAAAATCCATATGTCCACTGGGCAAAAGATGATTCGTCCGTGAATATTACACCTTTCCAAAAGTTCGGACTCGTCATAGACACGGTATTAGCCCATTCCTTTGTTTTCTTAATGTTGGCTGAGGTGAGCAAATGCTTGTGTCCAGCAGTCCTTCCCAGACAGACAATTCTATGGCGATACCGCGTAGTTGTTATGTTAGCCGTGGTTTAGTCGGTAGCCTTCACCCTTGGGTTGCTCACTGAACAGCTTGGAGACACTTGTATGAGGGACCGGGTCGCTCAGAGCTAACTGGTACGGGTTCTTTTTCTTTCATTTCTAAATTGAGTGATGACTCTATTCCCTCTAGCAAGAGGGATATAAAGCTTTTCTATAATTCTACGTTCGTTCGTTCAAATGATTGTACAACAATATTACTCTTTAGAAAATGTGACAATTCTACTCTCAACGAGTCCCAGACTCATTAGAAAAGTTGACAATTCTACTCCTGTCGAGTCGCAGACTCTTTAGGAAACTTGATAATTCTACTCCCGTCGAGTCGCAGACTCTTTAGGAAACTTGATAATTCTACTCCCGTCGAGTCGCAGACTCTTTAGAAAACTTGATAATTCCATTCTGACCATTCTACTCCCAACGAGTCGCAGACTCTTTAGAAAACTTGATCATTCTACTCCCAACGAGTCCCAGACACTTTAGAAAACTTGACATTATTACTCCCGTCGAGTCCCAGACTCTGCTTTGTAGATTAAGACAAACAATTCTGAAAAGAATTTGGTGAGGTGGAAAGATAAACTAGGGAAGTCTCCTTACTTTTGACATGTTTCTGTATATGTGCGCGAGCGACGCGTTACATGTGTGTGTGTGTGTGTGTGTGACGCGTTTCATCCTTTATGACTTAATCTAACCAAGTTTATATTGATGTTGATGTGTAAAGGGTCGAAACGCGTCTCGCGAAAAACTTTTCCATTTTGTCATACTTCTTTTTCTTGATTTATAAAAATTTATATATCATGCCATGCCATGCCTTTTCAGGATATCTTAATTTCAGTTACTTCCCTTTAGTAACTCATCTCTCCAAATTTTGGTTCACCTCTGCTGTCGCCAGGTATTGAACTCACTACTCTTTGGGACAAAGCACTGGATTACTTCAACGAATGCTTTTATCAACTTGGCCAAGACACATGGAAAGCTTAGTTAAAAAGCGTGATAACTGATAATAAGATATCCGGAAAATGCATGGCACGTGGAACTAGAACAATCTACCGCGGTGGACGAAATAAAGAGTTCATTTCGAAATTCCACTCACCTGAAGAAGGCCGGAGCGTACAACGGTCGAAACGTCTTGAATATGTCAACAAAAATGAGGACAACAGTCCGAAGAATGTAAATAGTGTAAATCATTTCTACACCTTATCTCAGAAATATAGACAGATATTTTCTCTGTCTATTATTTCAACTTCATTCCTCAAGTGCCGTGATCTCCTTTTTCACTCCATATGTGGTCAGCTACGCCTGATTTTTCTATTTCCCCTCGTGTTACGGCTTTACGATGTTCTTGCAGTCTTATCTTAGCGGGCGGTCTGTTTCTTCTTTAGAGTTCTTATCACAGCTGCACAAGATGGCGTAAACACAATTCTTAGTCACGTTCTCTTTTATGGGAAGTGTTACTCTGCGAAACGTTGAACCACTTCTGGAGGTCGTCTTAATGTCATATAACATAAGCCGTAGCGTACAACGGCCAGGAAGACGTGAATATGGCAACAAAGATGAGGATAACAGCCCGAATAGTGTAAATAATTAAAATACATCATTTCGGAAATATAGACAGATATCGTATATCTTAATGATGTACGTGAGGTCGTGTGGTTAGAACCTTAGTATTTTGACCATGATACCTGGGTTCCAACGTCAACATGGCTGTTTTGTGAAGGATGTAACTTCTTGCAGAGACAATTCCAAAATGCGTACAACTTCGTGGGAATAATACGGTTTGGCTCAAACTTGTGAAATTCGACAGACGAAACAGTTCAAAAGTCATCGATTGTTTCAGCAAACCAAAACTCATCTTCAACACGATTTTCCGTGTACTGGTCGAGTTCAACTACTGAACACGCCAGATTATGCTCTCTCTTTCTCTCTCTCTGTCTCCCTCTCCCCACCCCAGAAACACTAACTGAGATTCGCTCAGCATTGTTGCGGTATAAAACTCAGGTTGACTGTTGTGTATGGGAAAGAAACACAAATGTACCTGAGCAGGCTTATGCAATAAAAAGGACCAGCCTGTCATTATATATTAGAAGGGTAAGTCAAAAATGATCTGCCCTTTTGCCATAATATATATTTAGATTTGTCACACTGACTTCTGCACATGCGTGCTTATAGTTGGTACTAGTGTGGTCATGTGATCAAAGTTTGAACTTGATCGTGCCAATTTTCTTGTTACTATTACAGTGCAAACATGGCCGCGTTGCCAGCAGTGTGCACAAAGGAGGAACAAAGAGAAAACATTGAAAGAGGTGTCGAAATTCATCAGAAGCTCTTAACACAATACAGCAACATTGCAGTACCGTGGATAATTTTTGACTTAACTTCGTATTATATGTTAATAAAAAAAGACGACTTTCAAGTAAGACAAGAAAATAAAACTTAAGATATATCTCTAAAACTAAAACTACCAGTATTTTCCTTCTTTCATAAGCTATACCTTTTCGGGATGTGGGCGATCATAGCCCTTCACAACTTCCTGTCTTTTGTTAATCTATTAGCCCATTTATTACCACTTGTTTCGTTGTTCTGGCATCAATTCACTCAGAATTATCAAGTATATCATTTAATACTTCTATCTACTTCTCATGACTTCAATACGCCCTGATACTGTTAAGTTTGCCAAGCCGTCTTCCCTCATTATATTTCTAATAAATGTTATTTGTCTCTTTCAGATTGTATCAATTTCTTTGTAAATGTATTACCACTAATAAGGTAATACCTTACGCTCCAAATGTAGACAAAGAAGATAATTTATTGTTTCTTACGGCCATATCACGTTAAAACATTGGTTCCTGTACGATCACCGAAGTTAAGCAACGTCACGCCTGGTCAGTACCTACATCGGTGACCGACTGAGAATACCTGGTGCTGTAAGCTTTAATGTAGAGATAGTGTATGGATAATGGCTCGGAGTTGTTAATCGAAAAGTTGTTGGGTTCGTTATATTCTCTTACGCTCAAGTACACCAGGAAAGGTATCAATCTACCTATTCTTCTCCAGCTATGGATTAATTAGTAGACTTGTATCACTAAAGCATTATTATCTAAAAAGAATTCTTACAATCTGAAATATTTTCTGGCTTTAACTGACCTGCAAAGAGTTTATAAGCGGGCGAAAACGAGTGAAACAATCAACATATATATGACAAGATTTGAATTACTTAATGTAATAAAAATTGCTATTTTCTAGTATAAAATACATATAAATTACATATTTACAATGTCTACATCGTCTTCTGGCTGTTGAATTAGTTCCACCCTACAACTCGTTTTCCAAAGACGAAACGCCACAAGCCTATCGCTAAACTATGTCTATTTCTATAGAAAATGTTCTGACGAGATACATTCCTTAGTTCCAACAGTTCAAACCTTTACGGCTTAGGCTAACCATGCCACATATACAGGATCAAATCCTCTACATTCTCATTGATAAGAAGGAAGTTTTATTCAGACTGCTTTTTTTTTAACCAAGAACCCCTTTTTGAACATACATGATCACTATAATTTTAAATTCTTCAAGTCTTGGGTCAAACGTTATCTACTTTCAACAACCTCATCCAATAAGCTTCTGCGTTGAGTGGCTCTTGGGCTTTGTATTGGGTGAACAACAGTAGGCTAAATAAATAAATAAAACTTTCTATAAACAGAAGAATAATCATTTCTTTCTTGTTCTTCACCTTCTCCTCCTTCTTTCTTTTTACTTTATCGCATCCACCTCCCTTCCTCCGTCTTCTCTTTTTCCTTCTTCTTTTACTTCTCCTCCTCCTCCTCCCCTTCTCCTCCTTCTTCATTTCCTCTTCCTTTTCTGCTCATCCTTCTTCTTCTGATTCTTATTCTCCTCCCCTTCTTCTTCTTCTTCTTCTTCTTCTTCTTCTTCTTCTTCTATGTACCGTCTCCCTTCAGTATGTGTGTTATCAGGCTCTTCATAACTTTCTATTCTTTGTAGCTCTTACTAATCTTTGTTTGTCATCTATTACCAAAACTTGTCTACCATACATTTACACGTTTGTTGGGGTAGGGTTACTCGATGTTTCCCTCTATTCTTATTGCCTTCAATAGTACCTGCGCGTATCAAATTCTCCAAACCCTCCCTTTCACGTGATGTACCCTAGAAATTTTAACTCTAAATATCAGCGTCCGTTTTGTTATCATTTTCCTTAAAATTTCCTCGTTAACCAGCTCTCGATGGTAATATCAATAATAATAATGATAATAATAATAATAATAATAATAATAATAAATACTTTCCAGGTGATAGGTCAAAAGCTCTACAATGTCTTGATAAAAATTAAAATTAAAAAGAACTTTCCAAACGACAAATGTTTTTAAACTTTTTGGATTGGTATATTCTGGTTTGAGAGATGAGCGCTTGGTGTGGAGGATAAAAGCTCGAAATGAAAAATCAGAGAACCAAGTTCGAATTGCCGCCACCTACACTTCATTATGTAGTATATATCTTCATGATCGGTGCAACACTGTATGGTAAGAATTTTGACGATCCGACAATGAAAACTTGACTGCTTTGTGAAAGAGGCGTCTTCTTGATATCAGACAATCTCGGTGTGCAGCAGCGTAGGAAAAGGCATACCTCGTCTTGACTCAAGTCTTGTCTGTGAAACTGGGAAGATGAGGTCGAATTCCAGTCGAGTTCGTTACATTCCTTTACGTGCAAATAGCCTTCGGAAAAAAATGAATACATTTTTCACCCCACAGCTATGTGTCAAATAGCAGGTTAGATTGGGTTCTTTAATCTTGATTGATAACCAATCTACTGCAGAAAGTAACGGCTGATTACTGCGGGAATTCCTCTGTTAAATGAATCATGAATCGAAAAGAGCATCACGTATGGTCTCCAAGGAAGGATATATTGTTTCAAGGCAGATGTTGATTTGCTTTTTGTATAGTTTTTGTTTGCCTACGCGTGTAATGTAAGGGATGTCGACACGAAAAGTGGAATCGGCGAGGCGAGTTCAAATTCCGGCCTGGTTCACTAATGACATTGGGAAAAGGCATAAATCCATCTCTTCTCAAGGCATGTATTTCATTACAGCGTAGACTGTGTTCCTTAGTCTTGGGTAGCAACCAGTCTGGGAGGAGGAGGAGGATTATGAGAGATGAACACTTTCAGTCAAACTTCTATACACTACAGCTCCTATCTTATCATAATCCATATGGTGACCCTTTGACCCTTGGGCTTTTCGAGCATCGTGCAAATATTTTATGACAACCTATATTTAATTAAATTTTACATGAAAAATGGGGCGGTTAGATAAGCTTTAAAATATATTCATGAAAGTTTCTCAGCAAAAGAACTCATTTCATGAATAAGTTCTTTCATCTATGAATAAGAATCCTAGATTTTATGGAAATTCAATAATTAATTAATTTCTGCTAGTCTATTTTTAAGTTTTCGCATGGTTCTTTCTCTAGGTTTATTGTAAAAAAACGCGCACTGATATTTTGGAGATTGCTAGGCTTTCATAAATGGACGACTTCTGTTTCTGATGCGTTTTTTGGGTGATTCAATTAACTATTCCGCCGTGATAAACGTACGATCTCATCATGGGAAAATCTGATATTGTTTGAGGCGCATACCAGCTGGTTACCTTGAATGTTTCTTAATCTAAGATGAGTATAGTGTTCGGCACTTTGTGCCAGAGACAAACACAATTCTTGCATCAGAAGCATTAGTTTATTGACTATATATTTATTGACTATATTCAAGAGAGTCATACCATCAATGGAGAGTACTATGCCAACTGAGACAATTACGAAGGCCTAACAAGACCAAACGCCCAGGAAAACTGACGAAAGTATTTCATCAAGACAATGCTTCATTACACAAGTCCTTGGCTTTAATGGCTGCTGTGCGTGACTGTAGCTTTAAAGTGCTTGATAGCCTTCTATATTCTCTATCGTCTGTGCTCCAACATGAAAAATATTTGTTTGGGAATCAGCATCACAATGACGTCGCTGTTGATGATTTTTTGGCCAAAATGATGAGAATTTCTTCACCATTGGGAACCAAGAATTGTATGACCGATGGAAGAAGTGTGTGACTCGCAAGAGGACTATGTTGGAAAATAAACATCAGAGTATCTTGATCAACCTATGAACTTTTCAGACGACCCTCGTATATTTCGGTGGATTAGACTGCTTAGTTAGTAATCAAATACATAATTACCAAGCTAAAAATACATATGTGCAAGCGTATATGTCTATATCGATTATAATGGAAATGTCCTATTCTCCTTATAGCCTATTGTGGAATGACTCTTTCGGTAAATATATATAGTGTGGACAGGATATGCCTGGGACTTGCTTCGGGAAATAGTTGGAGATTCGTCTCCATCTGTGTTGGTCAAACTCTCTACCTCCTGGCAGAGAGGATCCCCAGGCGAGGCTATGTCGAAGGGAAGAGTCTCTTCTCGGGAAGCAGCTACCTGACTCCGTTTTATACGGGGAATTTTTTGCTGAGCCTACGGGTTCGGATACCCAACGTTAAATTCGGCCTTGTGTCACATCTGACCGCGTGGGGCGGTTGGTAGATATCCTTAATTCGGGAATTAGTCTAGGGTTGGATATTCGTCTCCAGCTGTGCTGATCAAACTCTCTGCCTCCGTCTGACCACATGGCTCGGTTGGTAGATATCCTGGCTTCGGGAATTACTGGCTTGCTATCCGATTCCCTGTCTTTCAGTAGTGTATTCTCTTTTACAATAAACCTCTCTTTCTTTCATCTATGCCCGTGTTGCTGTTCCTTTCATTCGAGTACCACCTTTGTCTGTTACCTCTTTAAGGATACAACAATATGGTTCCTTCTTTAGGTGTCATGAGCGAAACACGCTTTGGCGATCATGTCTCTTTTTGATTCACGATTGATTTGAAAGAAGAATTCCAGCTGGCTTTAAATTCTGTGGAAGACTGCTTGCCAACCAAGGCTATTTGATCCTATCTATCCTGCTATTTAAACCACAGATGGAGGAGAATAGATGAATTCATGCCGTTCCCAAACTCGACTGGAAATCGAACGGCTCCCTGATTTCTCAGTCTATGATATCCAAGCTTACAACACCTGGTATTCCCAATCGGTCACCCATCTAGGTACTGATCTGGCTCGACATTGCTTAACTTATGATCAGACGAGAACCGGTTTTTTTTTTAACTTGGTATGGCGTGATAGCGTCTGTATATGCATGCAATTTTCTTACTCCGCCTAGTGAAACGTGAGAAAAGACAAACAATTTTTTGGTTTTCAGGAATCTATAATGGTAGACTATACACAGAAATGACTAAATCAAAGAAACATTGCCTTAAGCATATCTTTCGAATAGGAGGAATCTGTGTGCAGTCAGTATTAAAAAAACCTAACTCGAAGCTCTAGTTCGCAACTGGTGGAATATACGAAAAGATTTCGAATCACACAGAAAACCCGTAGTGCACCCTGACGTAGTTTAATGATTAGCAAGCTTCTCTGGCTAGAATCCTTATCATCCATACTTTCGGAAAGACTGAAAACATTGCATATTTTTAAAAAATTCAGAACATTCCAATTATTAAAACCTCCCTTTGTATAAGGCACCTAAGAGTAATCCTCTCCCACGTGTAATGAGCACCCTCTTATAATGACATAACCTCTGATTTTCAAGCTGAAATTAATTAAAAATGAATGCAAAATGCTTGAAATCTTTTATTGAAACAATGATATATCAAATTTAAATTAACAGGATTAAATTAACCAGAAAGTTCAACTGCTTACGTAAATTTTATTCACTACCATTAGGCATTTTCGAATTGAAAATCTGGGAATATCGTATTCACTCTCAGAAAATGCTGTTTAAATTGTTTAATGCGACACATGTTTGCTGATCGAATGCAGTGCCCAAATTACCCCCTGCTTACAACCCGTAGGCAGGCACATTATAGACCATGCACTGCTATAAGCATATATGTCTATACACTTTATAAGCAATTTCTATAGTGATGAATTTATACTTAATTATCCGACAGATTTTATTACACGTTATTTTTAGTGGATACCATATTTGAGTCGAAGCTCTGTTTATTTATTAAAGAGTATATTTATTTTCGTCTACCATGTTTAATATTCGAGTAATATAAATAAATATGCTTCGAGTGAAATAAATATGCTGGTGAATAAATAAACGCATCGTCTACTTAAATATGGATATTCACTAAAGATAACGTTTAAATATTAAAATTTTATTGGATAATTGTATAATTCTTAATAAGTTGAACAATCGTATCTTCAAAAATGTCCTCACATGTATGTATTTGTAGCCAACAATTTACCTTTGACATCCTACAAAGGTTCCACATTAGTTACAAAGGCAAAGAGATGAACGGTGTGACAACGTCAATGAGTGGACTAGATGATCAACCACAGTGCGTCAGGCAATACACACAACCGAGACATATGGATGAAACTGGCCAGGTACACGGCGGTGCAGCGGTCATACGGGTACACCTGTTCATGGGACTGAGGATAATGATGATGACGGCTAATAAAAATTTTATGAAAATCATTTAAAGTGTCAAAAAGTGCAGAATTAATAAGGAGGTCGTGGTGGGGATCGGAAAATTTGCTTTAAAAATGCTCGTCGCTGTATGCGCCGTGGTTAGCCATGAAATCAAAAGTTGACAGCTGTTTTTATGTAGTACTAGCAGCAGATCCCGGCGTTGCGCGGGGATATAACAGTAAGAGATAGATCAAGTATCCACCATCATAAAGACTGAAAAATAAAATTGACAAAGATTATTGTTTAAGGTTGACGGACACGCATGTCTTAATTAGTTTTTTGTTTTTTTTAACGAATTGGTCAAACCCAAACTCAAACAAAAACATTGTTTTCAATCGTTATGAGTCTACCGGTTGAATAGAATTTTATTATAAACAATTGTCTTGTAAATGGAATTTTTAAAGCATTCTGAATGTAAAAATAAAGAAAAAAGTGTGCAAGACAATACGAAACACTACCTGCCAAAAAAAAGTGAAGTTTTGTTGAAATCGGTTGAAAAAAAGTAGGAAATCCGATCCCATATATAAACGAACACACACACACACACACACACCCAAACAACCTGGGTTTTATAAGTATAACTCGATATGAGTTGTCCCCATTTCATTCTGGCGATAGAATCGTGTTTTATCGTGTTTTCAAATTGATTTCGTGCAAAAACAATTGTTTTTTACCAATTTTTGGTGCTGGCAGAACCACCGCAAGGTAATTTTACGCAGTCCTGTGAAGCTTTGTTGAAATCGGTTGAAAAATGTAGGAAATCCGATCCAATATATAAACGTACACAGACACACACACACACACACACACACACACACACAATCTGCGTTTTATAATAAGTAAGATTTTAGTCGCATCGTACTTGCAAAATATGCCATTTGAATAGGCCACTAAGCAAATAGAACGAGAAACTTTATACCAGGTAGAAATGGCGTATCTCACTGTAGTAGTCATATTGAAGCGCAGTGGAAGCGTGCTGGACTCATAACCTGTAGAAACCTGCAAGGGGGGGCGTGGTTAAGCGTAAATGACTAAACTCTCAATATACAATTGGCAAAATTCTCAAGTGAAATGGGGATAATTCTCAATTAACAACAAGGAGAATAGGAAGAGGAAAAAGAACCATCTATATATCTATCTATCTATCTATCTATCTATCTATCTATCTATCAGTGGACATTAAAGTCAACGCACAGAGGCGACACTGTGTCACACTAAACGCAATCCTCTATCACTGATATTCTGATATTCAACAACTTTAAGTCATAAATATCGCATAGTATAAAACTATATATATATATATATATATATATATATATATATATATATATATATATATATTTCATTAAATAATATAGATATATTATATATATTTATTTCTATAATAATCTTGTTTATAAGTTGAAATTAATCAAGGAAGGCACTATAGTTTTGTTAACCCAAGTACTTTCGATTTTTACATGAGCGAATTCCGAAGACAAACTTAATGTTAATGTAATTGTTGCGATGATAATTTTTGTAAACACGCGTGAGTACTTTAAAATTAACTATAGTGGTTGCGATGTTTTGTAAACAAGCATTCACAATACAAGGAGTCAATTAGATTTGTAGATGATTGTGGATGTTACAGAAAGAAAAACAGAAGCAGTAAGATCTTCATTCAATCAATTAGTTCATACTAAATTGAGACATTAATTTTTAAAATTAATTGATAAACATGGCAAAACAATTCTTTAAGTAAGATTTTCAATCGGAACACATTAAAACTTAGTTATAATTGTACTAATAATTTAGAGAAAATAATTAAATCACATAACAATAAAATATTGAATTTATATAACAATAATAACCGTAATACTAATGCTGATCTTAATTTGTCCCGTATAAATAACCTATGTAGTTGTAGATATCCCGATCAATGCCCTTTATGTTTTATTTATTGCTTAAGTAAATCCCTTGTGTATATGTGTTCTATTTCATCAGTAGAAAATCTATTAAAATATATATTGGAAGTCAATTTAAAAAACGTTTCTGTAATCATATCTCATCCTTTACTAATGCGGATAAACGAAATATGACTTCACTTTCTAAATATTTTAGGAAATTGAAAAAGGAAAAAAAAAACACATCTAAAGTTAAATGGAAAATTCTCAAACAAGCTCTAATCTCCAGATCTGTGAACGAACCATGCTTTTTCTGTCTGCAGGAGCAAATGGAAATAATTAAGTTCTTGAATAGTGACATATTAAATCTAAAATATGAAACTACAGTAAATTTTAAACATATTAAAGAATTAATCTTAAAGTTTTTCAAAACTTCATACCTCAATAATCACTGCTCTTATGTTATATTATATTTATATAAACCTTTTAATGCTATCATACGTGATTTAGGTATTATATTGGTTTATGTTCGTAAATTACCGGTAGTATGCTGAGCCATGAATTGGCTTATTATTTTTATTATTTTCTCTTGCTGTATTGATAATAGTTTCTAATTTAAAATTAATATAAAAATATGAAAGTTTAAAATTTATTTTTTATTCTAATTTATAATATAAGGTCGGTTTTGTTAAGTATTGTATTGCTTCTTAAATTGTCCTTTATTTACTTTCCATGGCTAATTTTGAATATGTGATTTCATAAAAAATGCCATAAAATTTGACATTGTTAACCAATGTATCTGTTGACGTTTAATTTCCGTTCAAATTTGAATTCACTTATTTCTATATAATTTCATTGTCTTAATTCGTATCAGCATGTTCTTATATTTTATTTTTTTTTAACTTTCCACATCTTTTGTATCTGTATAATTTTGCCTTTCTTTTTTGTCTATTCTCTTGGTAGAAGGGTTAATTTCCAATGCTTTCTTTTGCCTTTCACTTCTTTCCTCTTCCTCTTTCTTTTATTGATTCCTTTCCTTTTTCTTTATAAAAATCCTTTTTACCTTATATGGAAATTTTTCCAAAAACGGAAAATGAAGTGATGTTTCATAAGTTGCGATTTTAAATAAGACCGTTTATTGCCATCATTGTTAACTATCTGATGAGACGTTTTATTAAACTTCGAAACAAAATGTACAGTTTTGTAGTGGTTACTTACATGTTGTAATATAACAGTGTATAATGAATATTTATTGCTCTACTCTTGAATTGAGCCCTGTTTTAAATTAATGTTTTGAACGTTGCAATTTTATTCTTTTATATTTGGATATATATATATATATATAAGTCTCAGTCTATCTATCTATCTATCTATCTATCTATCTTAGTCAATTCCTATCTATCTATCTATCTATCTTAGTCAATTCATATCTATCTATCTATCTATCTATCTTTCATAGTATATTCATATCTATTTATTTGTCTGTAAGTAAGACGAAAAAGGTAAGAAAAGAAAAACAATAAATACGAACATTTTTTAAAATTTCTGTCATTTACATTCAGTGAAATGTCCTCATCCTTGATGCTGCTATCTCTGTGATCTTCAGCCTTCTTCCGGTGTCTGTTGACCCTGATAATTTGGAACTGAACACGAAGAGATATCCTTAGACAGGAACAGTGGAACGAGAACAATCTAACCGCGTAGATTAAATGAAGAGGTCAGCTGGAAATTGCCTGGATTAACGGATATATA